TGCAAATTTCTCAGCTTCTCATTTTGGGTCTTTTGCTAATTGTAGCAGGGAGCATTGCTGACTGTTCAGGGGCGTGTGTTTGCAAGAAGACGAGCGTTCAGAAGATGGCATAGCAACTCCATGGTTCTCTGAGGCTTCGCTCACACGTTTTGAGACATAGAAGCAGCCTGGCTTTCCCTGCAGGGAGTCCCAGAGCCTGGAGCCACCACCGAGAAGACCCTGTCACACATTCCCATCAAATGCTTCTTTGAAGGTAGTTGTGCCAAGAGAAGGACATCTTTCGAAGATCTGAAAAACCTACCTTCTGAACACACAACCCACAAGAAGCAGTTCTTCCCCAGTGCAATGCCGTGGGGGGATTAACGCTGGTCGTGTAAGACCTCTAATGCACGCCTGTGCCTGTTTCCTTCCATTCAGACCCTTCTAGGGGTGTGGATAGAATTACTATAGAACACTTACCATAGCTGCATCGATTTATAGAAGTAGCCATAGCATTGAGCTGGAGTGGGACCCAGAGTGAAGTCACTCGGTCTGGCCTGGGTTGGATTCTGTGCTGCCCCAAAGACACCTGCCGAGGGGGCTGTGCAGCTCAGTCCGGGCTTTCCTTCTCCTTGCACGACAGGTGAGCTTCTCTGCATCTCATCACCCCCGTCCTGAGGACAGCCCTAATCCTGAAACGTCTTTGTGTCGGAGGTGGTGTGCCATATCCTGGTCAGGAGAGGGGGCTACATATTAGATTCCATACTGATATGGCAGTTGGCCGCGCATGTTGTTTTTGCATTACAACGCCAAATTTTTCAGGTGTTAATTCACCTGTGGGGCTGTGTCTTTAAGGGGGGCTGTCTTGAAGGGCACCCCTATTTGTGAAAAGGGGTCTGTGGGCATGAGAGAGGAAGGCATGTGATTTGGGGGGGGGGGATCTAAGGTGGAAAGATTCAAGGTAGAGTAGCAAGTGGCGACACACAAGTGGGGCAAAAGCCAGCTCAGCCGGGGTATCCAGTGCTGGGAGACCCCGTGGTTTTATTTTAGCAAGTGCCCATGAGCAATGGCATGGCAAGGCAAATGGTCCAAGATGTCCAGCCAGAGAGAGCATCATCTACCACCGCTTCTGTTCCTTGGGACCAAAATTCTGCTGCTTGCCTGTAATAAATTCTCCATTGGTTCCCTATTTTCTGGTTAGATGTGGGCCCAAATCTGTATTTTTTAACTGAATTATTTCCTCTCCACTGGTTAAAAAAGCTGCTGGAGCAGCTTGCTATCAGTCTGGACACAAGACTGCCCCGCAGGGTTGCAATGTTTAAAAGTCACAGCACACAAAGAAAAACAGATGCGGAGGAAAGAGGAAAAAGCCAGCAAGACTTGTGGTGGATTTGGTGCAATAGTCCTGCTTGCCCTCTCATCTGGGGATTGGGGGTGCGAATCCAGCTGGAGGGTGCTTTTTGGCCCCCTTGCCTGATTCGGTCTTCCTTGTTGCATCATCTTTCCTCCAGAGCCATTGTTGTAACCCAAACGCACAGGGTTAAGCAGGAAAAGTTCCAAATTCTTTGATCAAACTGCAATCTACCTGAAACTGCTAAAAATAGTTATTTATTAACTTGGCATTGGTGGAGAAGGAACTCTTTCCTTTCTCCTTGGCAGGTGTTTTGTGTCACAACCAAAGATACTTCACACTAGCAAAAACTGGGTGCTAAAATCGATTTTTTAAAAATTGGATGCTTTAATACAGAATGCAGGTACAGACACAAGGTGTCTGGCAGTCAGTGATCTGGGGTGGTAAACATTTTTAGAATTAAAACTCTTTCCCCAAATGCAGAGCTTCATATGCAAAGAACACTACCTTAGATCTAATAATAATAAAACCTAGCTTGAGTGGAAACAGTGCTAGTCAAATTAAAATTTCAGCCTATTTATTTATTTCATTTGTATACCGCCCCCTCGCCAAAAAGGCTCCCTAGGTGGTTGAGAAAGCCAAACCATAGGAGTGGGAACAAAACTGCAAGAGCCAATAAGCAATAATAAACAAGCTTAAGGCAACTGATAAAATTGGTAGGCAGGTTCATTTTCATTAGAAGAAATGAACTTTCATCTGATAAAACCCTATTAAAATGACAAGCTTAACTATTAGAATGCCTGGACAATAACCTGGTGCAGAAAGGAAAGAAAGTAGGTGCCAGGCAAACCTCTTTGGGAGTTGATTCCAAAGATGGGGTGCCACAACCGGGAAGGCCCTTTACCTCCTTTCTCCTTGAGAAGGTCCCCAGTGGATGGTCTTAGGACTTGTCTGGGTACATGCCCAGGTATGCTGCTCAGGAAGCGAGCGAAGTTTTCTTGCTGGCTCTCTTGGCATGCTAAAATTCAGTGCTGCTTCTCCGCCCCCCCCCCCCTTAAACTTTGCCCTGGGTTGCAGAATCACGGAGGTGCGGGGGGAGCCATGGTTGCTTGCTTGTGTGTGGGTTCTGGGGTGGTTTCGCAGCCACCCCCTGCTGTGTATCCCCCTCCCCCCAGGTTTGGAGAAGTGGATACGCAAATGACACCGGTCACAACTGGTGCATGGAGTGTGGAAGGTAAGTCACCGGGACTCCTCCTCCATGAACCAGTGATTGTGTGAACCCAGCCGATACGTAAGGAGCTTTGTGCGGTCGGCTTGTTGCATCATCATAAATTTGCAAATACTCCACTGAAAGATTAGAGTCCAAGTGTTGCTTCTGTTGGAGTGCAACCTTGAGCAACGCTAGCAGTCCAATCCTATGTTCTTTACGCCGAACATATTTCTGAGGCTTACAAGTAAGTGCTCGTAGGATGGCAGAAGTGAGTTTTATGCTTGATGTTTATATTTTCTTCACACACCAAGTATTTGTGCTTAACAACTTGAGGCCATTGAAAAAATCTGAGTTTTTTGCATTTTATCTCTAAGGAACACATTCTCAGAACAGATGTTGCTGAACTTGAGCTGCTCAGAATCGAATCTTGGAGTTTTGGTTTTTTTAACATAGATAATTCTTGCCCTGGTGTGGTTTATGGTGCCATTTTGCCCACTCCAGCTTCAAGGAAACTTCGAGTGAAATCAGAGAGTTGCTATTTTCCAGGGACCCCATAACAGACAACAGACTTTTTAGGTTAGGATTTTATGGTACTCTGTGGATTTATGTAAATCAAAATAATTTTAATGACCAAGAAAGAGTCCTATTAAATCACTGATTTAAGTCAGTCAGGAAAAGTAATTTTAAATCAATTTCCCAGTGAAATCTTTTCATAGATTTCCTAAACACTGAAGCAAATCTGACTACTAAGCCATGTTGATTTTTAAATACATCAATTGTTGAACAATAAAATTCAGAGTACATTTTAAACTTGTTTCATTCTCAAAAGCAGACTTTTCAAAACTTGCTGGGCCACCTGAGCAGATAGAATATTAATCAAATCCAGAAAAAGTCCAATCAAAATTTGATAGTTACTGGGCAAAAAAAAAAAAAAAAAACCTCTTTAACATCAGATTTGGGAGATTTTAAAAGCATCTTTTTTCCCCCAGCAGGCAATATGGCCCTCCTGTTTTAATTCCCTTGCCTTGCTCGGGTCAGCCCCAGGCTACACAAAATGACAGGACAACAACATTGGCCAAGCCTGGCTTTGTACCCGTGACTTTAGAGAAGTGGAAAATTCAGGCATTTCAAAAAGCTGGAGAGAGCTATTTTCATGAGACCCAAAACAGAAGTGACTACACATATTAGATAGTTAGGCAATGTAATTTATAGGGAGGGGGGGTGCAAGGGCACAATCCAGGGTCTTTGGTGGGCGTAAGCCGAGGTGTACAAGCATCCAAGCAACAGTGTGAAAGACGCCAGCCATTTCCTCCACCTCGTACCTTGTGCTGTGTCCACCTGTCTCAAAGTGCCACAGACAGGTGGGGAAGAGGGCGAGGGGGCGGCCTGAAGGTGGTGTAAGCCCCAGTCACTCTTCCCTGCCCATCAGCACCTTCATTTTCTTTCCCTTCCTTGTCAAGATCTCAAAAGAGGCAGCTGGTGCGTCGTTTTCTGCAGCGGCTGTGAGAGAACCTGGGTTTGAAATGGCAGAGCTTTCAGGCTCAGTCCTGAAATAATCCATTGTGCCCCAAACTACCCAGAGGTTATAGGATTGCACCCTGTGTGAGAATGAATTGTATTCTCTTTATTCGTATTCGGTAATGTTTGAGTAATAGAAATTTAACTTCATATCTTTTTGCAATCTGATAGTTTGCTTTTTGTTTTAAGAAACATTGATTTCATCTATCTTATTTCATTGACACTTTGGTAACAGGAGTTCTCGATAGCTGGTTTGTTTAGGCTATAGGCTAACCCTAAATATAGTTGTTGATGTGAATGAAATCATAAAGGCAACCCTATTCTGTTTGCTCTCAAAACAAAAAAGGGAACGCCTCCATGGCCAAGAAGTAGCATCTTCCCCTTGATGGAATGGGGTTGTTCCATTGCTTGCGCTTGCGCTTGCGCAAGCGCATTGCTTGTGGTTGTTCCATTGCTTCCAGATGTGTGGAACCACAACTCTCATCATCCTTAGTCAGCCTGGCCCATGGAAGTTGCAATCCAATGCATTTGAAGTCTGACTTTGGGCGCGGGCTAACAGTTTAGTTTCCTGCTTTCCCGCTGCAGGGAGGCTTCTCTACGATGGTCCTAAACCCTGGTTATAACATGACAAGAGTGAAACACCACAATTGCAAGACTGTTCTGTGTGTACAACTCACTCCACTCTGCCTCTGCCTGCTTGCCTTGAGAGACTTTCGGGCAAGTGAAAACAAGATCCCCCCCACACCGCTCCACCCTGCAATGTCGTGGGAAGGACATATTAATTAATATTGATGTCTAGACTTGTAATTGTTCCCTGAAGTTTAAGCCAGTAGTTGAATTTCATAGGGAAACAGTGGCGGACTTCAGCACGGATCCCTTTACCCCGTCCGTGCAGAAATGTGGGCGACCAAAGGAGCCGTCTTCTGCAGGTTTTTGTGGAAGCACTGCCTGTGTCGGGCTGGTGTGGTTTTCCCTGCAACCGTGGAAGGGGAGCAGAGGCTGAGAAATACTCCCAGGGAGTCAGCGTGCAAAGAGCTCAGAGAGTCTTACAGTAAGGGTCATTTAAGGCCACGGGGAACCCCTCAGTGTAACTCATCACATCTGGGAGACACCAGCCCAGCCCCTCGTTAGGAAAGCTAGGAGGGGAAATCCAAGCGCTCCAAACTTTGGACTTTTTCCCAGTTCTGGTCCACATTTGCCTCTCCAGGTTCCAGGCTAACCTGAGCTCTTCTACACAATACTCTTGTCCTTACTGTTGTGGTTTTGCTGTGAGAGACGGTCTGGCACGTCCGGATGGAGTGGGTTGCAGAAGGCTTGTGCTGAGTCAACACAGTCCATGTCTTGTCACCATCTTTTCCTTTGCATTAAGTGCACTGAACTAACTCAGGTATTGCTTGGTTCTTCTCCCGGGTGGCTTTTTCCAGGTACGAGTATTCCAGCTCTCAGATGCCTTGCACTCAGCGTCCTCTGCCAGCCATTGAGCTAATGATCAAGATGCCAACATGGTCATCTTTTGGACACTGGGCTGAGACTGCCCTCTGCTCCCAGACCTACATGGGAGTCACATGCATCAGCTCTCTTTTTCACATGGCCAATATTTTTGTTGAAATGGGTTTCAGCTTTTGGAATTGTTCTAAATTTTGAAAAAAAATCATGAGGGATTTTAAGATTTGGAATGACAGTTGGCAAGCAGATGAATTTTTATAGAAATGTCTGATAACAACATGGGCTGCCCAGATTCATGTCAGGTGTTAGGATTTTAAAGTATGTGCCTAGGTGGGGATGATGGCAGTTGGAGTCCAGTGCAGCTGGAAGGCACAGGTTGAGTAAGGTCGCCCTGCTTGGCTGATTTTCCTTCAACTTGTTTACTTTAGTGCCAGCTTCCTTTATTTGTATAATTTGGGACAAAGGGCATTTCTAGCACAGCATTGCTCCAAAACGATCCTGCTTGCCAGGCATGGCATGAAATCCACCGGAAGTAGGTTTCAGGCTCATTGGAAAATCCAGTGCATTTATTTCTCTTTAATGCTTAACTTGCATTTTTGGCATTCTAATGACCAGTCTGTCATGGCAACAGCAGAACCTTCCCCCGATTTGGTTAGCCTCATTCGTACAGGAGAGCCGCATTTTCTTGCAGATCCCAAGATGGGGATGCAGGGCAAGCACCTTCATTACAATTGGGAACGGTTTCGTCCTTTAAGCCTCGGCCATGTCGCTGTGATGCAGGGAACATGCTAGATCTTAAAATCCTGACTTCAAAGCCACACTTAGGGACTTGTTGCGTCACCTTGAGCAAGCATCGGCCTCTGTGTTCTTGTCTTTAAAATGCCAGTAATAGAATGTGTGCCACAGTTGCAGGCTGGATTAGAAAACACTCAGGACAGTGTTATTTGTATCAGATCTAAGTCCGGGTATGTGTTGTATAATTTTGTAGCTTTGACATTGGGGCAAGAGTTTGGCTTATGGAAAATGCTAGCCTCTTTTTCCTTTCCTTGTTAATTACACCAAAAAGTAACAAGTTTCTAGGCCCTATGAGCAAAGACATACTTAAAATGTCGGGAAGTTACATAAGGCATGGAGGTAGGTGGGTTTTGAGATGTCCAACGATCGGATATGTTGTTACTCCCATACTTGATGTCCCCAAGTCGGTTGGATCAGATTGTTTTAGTTTATATTGCTTCGAAATTACCATAAAACAAAAGTTTAATGAAACTTGCTACATGTCCATAGAAAGATAATGTATTTATATAAACATAACATGAACTCAGATCACACAGAATGAACATAGAATCCTGGATCTCGAGCTAAAATACGTAACTTTAAACCTCTATTAAAATCACTCGTGAATCTCTTTGGCTAGGCATAGCATTGTCCTTTAAGAAAGACCCCTGGAAAGAGTACAGTTTAAAAAAATGTCTAAAATAATCTATTCGAATTTCCATTGGCAACTTCTTTTTGTTTGTTGATTTGTGGAGAATATCACTTGGAGACTATCACTTGGTCTAGTAGAAGGCACCTGTGTTTTCTTTTTCCACCCTCAAACTTTCAAGCTTTGCAGCAGTGAGAACTAGCATTTTGCTTCCTCTGTTTAAAAAAAAAAAACTTAGAAAATAGGCTGCACCAAGTTGCATCAGTGTAGTGTGGCTTTTAAGCAGGCTAGCCTGAGCCTCGAGAGATCCAGGTTCTAGTGACTGACTTTGGGCTCGTAACAAACCCTCAGCCTAGTCTACCTCACAGGGGCGTCATTGTGATGATAACATGGAGAGAGAGGGACAAGGTAAGCCGCCTTGGGGTTCCTTGCAAGACGGAGAAAAGCAGGTTGCAAATGTCAAAAAAACTGTTCCGCAGAAATTTTAAAAAGCGGGCTGCATCTGTTTGACTACATCGCTCGGCATGTCCTAGAAAAGATGGGGGTGGAATTGCGCAGAGTCCAAAAATTCTAGCGGACGAGGGTTGCATTTGGTTCTCCCACCTTCGGCGGCATCCAGTCATTTCTTCCTGCCTGGATTTGCTTCCCCCGCCCTGCAATGTCACTGTGCTGAAGTGCAGCTAAATTTACCAGGGTTTCCTACAGGATCCGGGACGGACCAGTTTGGATGGGTGGGAGAGCTGCAAAACCGGACATACAGATGCTTTCCTCTTGCCAGGGTACTGGTCGCAGCCTTGTGCCAAGCCATGTCTATGTGGAGAGTCTCTAGCTGGAGATTTTTTTTTTTTTTAAAAATCTTGTTTATTCTCTTTTATTTTGTAGCTAGAGTACCCAGTTGACTTATCCGTTCTGGAATCTACAGCTTCGGTGTGGGCTTATAAGGCAGCTTGTGTCCTCGAGCTATTTTTAGCTTGGAAAAAATGGCACCAGCCCCGTGACTTCAGTTTTGAACACAGCCAGGTCCCGTTCAGGCAGCCTCTTCACCAGGGCTGTGGCATTCGTTGTGCATCTTGCTAATTCTGCCATATTACACAGTTACGTTGTTATGTGATTGCGGGAGAAGACCGTGAATTGTTAGTGGTGCTTCCTATTGAGACTTTCGTGGCCTCGTCATCGTTTTCTCCCTTTTCCTTGTGGAATGGTTTTCCTCCTCTCCTGTACTGGGCGAACTTTGCCCTATGGAGAACTCTGCTCGCCTGGCGATCATGGACTAGGAATTTGGAGTGTTGCATGGATGAAAGGAAAGAGGCAAAGAATTTTACTCTGGGGGAGAAAGAGAATACATTTATCTATTCTGCACCATGATTTGGCAGCTGATGCCAGATAGATGAGCATCGCTCCAGATTCCCATTTCTAGTTGTGTGACTCCTGCAAAACTTCCTTGAAATTTTGGAGGGGAGAACGTGGGTGGTAAAACTCACCTCTGGGGTTGTGGAACAAGAGTCAGTCAGTCCAGAATTGGATCCCTCAATGTTTGGATTGTTTCTTCGCTTAAAACAACTGATTAGGGCGGGAAGGCTGGCCTGAAGCAGAGGAAGGCTGGGCTGCTGTTGAGAGGAGGGGTCCCCCAGCAAAAACTCCCCCTTGGAGGGCTCCTTATGCTTCAGCTTGCTAAAAACAGTGTCTTCTATCGGCCGGCTGACCTTAAATCCCACATCACCACGCCGGGCTTGCAATCAACACCAGCCTGTGTGACTTGGTGTGGTGCCTGCAGTCAAGTGTTTGCACGCATGCCCGTGTGATGGAGGCCGTAAACATCAGCCGACTTCCAAGCCTTCGCAGATCTTAGCCAGAGCTCCCCTTTGTCCTCTCCTTCGAACACGCTGCCCTGCTGAGCACTTCTGGCCATGTACGGCTTTGCTCACTGAAGGCTTGGCTGTTCTGTAGCAGGTAGCAGAGCGTAGTGATTCCAGCAGAGGTAAAGGAAGACTAGAACCCACTCGCTCCGCTCTCTGTTTTCTCCATCCTGATGCTGTCCAGACCTTTTTTTTTTCATTTTCAGATGTATTGTGGACTACAATAGAGGTATTGGACTACAACTCCCATCATCTGTTTGGAGAGCATGAGGATGGGAAGGGCTGGTAGAAGAGAGGAACAGAGGGTGATGTTAAGCAAAAACTTTGCTTCCTTGGGTATGTTGACTTTTGCCAGGAGCCTATCTTTAACAGTCAAGTGTCTAGTCCTCATGTTCATTCACATACCTGCAAGCCTAACCTCCAGCACTCAACGTCTCTAGAGATGTGGTTGAATAAGATTTATAGAAATCAAAAGGAAATATTTGAGTACCTGTAAAATTATAAAATTAGAGGTAGAACGTTTGATGCAGTATAATTTTGCTGACTTAGGGTAACTTGTATTTTTTTGGTACACAAAAGCGTGTCCCTTTTCTTGGAGTAAACACAGTCTAGCTTCGAAAATTCCGAACAGCTTAGGTCAGCCTTCATCCACCAGGTTCCCCTCAGATATGTCCAAAAGCAACTTACATCATTCCCCAGCCAGCATCGCCAAGGGCCGAGAGGGTGGGAATTGTATTTCACCGCTTCTGAAGGGTGCCCAGTTGGTTCAAGTTTCCGTAACCCATCCCCAAACCTCTCTGATGGAGACTATATCCATCCCAAGCCACAGTTTCTCTCCCATCACAAAAGGAATATTTTTGCCTTGAATAGTCAGCCCCTCTGGAGAGAAGAGCTTCAGATTTTAGTCTTGCTTTGCAGCTTGTGACTTACGTTCTTCCATGCTTAAGGTAGTATTTCTAGAAATCTGTGTACCTCCTCAAAGCTTGCCAGAACTGCAGAAGGAAACTGTTTTTTCCTTTGCTTTTGGGGATCGCTTGTAGCACACTATTCACAGTACAGAGGCTTCTCAGATTTCTAATTCCTTGCAGCTTTCACAAAATATTTGAAAGGTATTGGCTGTTTGTTTGTTTAGTCTCAGATTTATATGCCATCTAGAACTGCCAAAGGCCTTCCTAGGTGGCTTACAAGGAACGTATTACAACCTATTATAATAGTTAGAAAAGTAAAACATCCGTGCAGTTTTGCTGAGAGGTTCTAAGGGGTTTCCCAGGCAGGATCGTGGCTTCACACCTGTTCAATCTCAATGCACCTTTTTTCCCACCTTGCACTGCAAGGGCCCCAGAATTCTTCCGCCCACCCTTCCATCTACTTTTGAAAAAGTATCCTGGATTCTTCTCAGAAAACCCTATGTATGTTGCCAGAATAAAATGGCAGAAGAATAAGCTACCATTTCTGTGTGCCTGTGTTTGGATATTATATACATCCATATCCATGTTCTCCCTTTGCAAATACTTCCTCAGGCAAAGTTGTTCCTAATGGAATGCTACCCCGTTCCCTGCATGTTGGACAACTGTCACACTGGGGAGCAGGGTTCAGCCTGAGCCGCTGCTTTTCCGCCTGCAGGGAATGTATGCAGGCAAAAGAACATGCAGGATGCTAACCCTAAGTCCTCCCTATGCAAATCCAGTCTGGCATAGGCCAGGCAGAGAAGTCGGCCCCTGGGAGTGGGCATTCCTGCATCTTACCTCCCACCTTGGCAGCACAATTCGATGCTGTTGGCGTCGCTCAGACCCTTTACATGCCGCCAGTGGAAACTCTGGGCGCCGTTCTGCAGCCAGCAGCAGCCTGAACGGACAGCCGTTTTCCTCTGGCGTTCCGGCTGCTGATTCCCCTCTGCTAAGCCGTGGAATGGCAGCCCTGCCTTTTTATGACTTATAAGGGGCTTTTGCACAAGTGGTGTGATGAGCAGTGCGAATATCGTTTCAGTTCATGATCTCAGTCTTAGTCAACTGTGTGTGTGTTTGTGTGGGACCTTCCCAATTTATGAAAAATCACTTCTTTCCCGAAAGAAGAAATGGTGCACAGTTTGCAGAAACGAAGCAAAAAAGGAGGCAGCACTCTTGGGAGGTTCAAGTTTGCTTAGTATCTTGGATGAAGCGCCGTGCTTTGCCTTATGGGCGTTGTGCTCCAAGTTGCACCGCTGTTGTGCTCACCTTGGTGTAGCGATCGGGCTGTGGGTACAGTCCTGTCCAGGTGTAGTCAGAAAAGTGCAGCTCCAAGCACGTGCCTGCAGGACAGACTGGGAGTCAGGGATAGACTGTTTTCCTTGCATTGGATTATGCCCAAGTTTCTGCCTCCAGATGGGCTGGACTGCAACTCCCAGCATTCCTGGCCAAGATGGCTAAAGCAAGCCTCTGATAACTGTTCAGGAGTTTTCTGGAGCTGTTCGGGAAAGGTTTCTGCAATGTTCAGATACCTCTGTGCTTTAAAAACCTCAGAGTCGCATAGCTCACATCCCTGAGAACAGCATCTCAGGATCGAAATGAGACCCTGAGCACAAAGGTTGGTCAGCTGGGCAGTTGGTCAGTGGGATTTAAAGGGATGGGGAAAGCGTAACCACTGCAGTAGCTCAGAAACAGGACTTGAAGGTGCAAATCAGTTTCTATCTTGTGTCCTCTTCAGAAGGGAAAGAAGCCAGTGTTAAAGAAAAGCGACTGGGCCTACCAGTAATGACGTACAAGAGAAAATATTTTGTCTAATGTCGTGCTCTTTGGGGCTGAATTTTAGGACTGAAACCGTTAGAATTGAAAGTACGCATTTTAATCGGAAGGCTTTGGAAATCAGGTGAGATCTTACAAAAAGCAGATGGAACAGGGAATAGGAATAGACAAATGTTAATATTAAATATGTATAGGCCACTTTAGCAATTGTATATCTTCAGAGCAGCAGAATCAAGCCATGTTTTGGTTTTTCTAGATGCTAAGGGGCTTTCTTCTTAGAGCACTTGATGTCATGATTCTTTTTTGTATACTTTGCTTTGGGGAGTAGCACATGGTCTATAAATGCTTCAAATGTAAAGTCAAACCTGCACACTTTTAAAATAGACCCTTCCCCATCACAGGGCCTCAGAATCCGCAGACATACTGCAAGGTTCTGAAACTTCTCTAGCTACATGCTCCAGGTCTGCCCTCCAAGCCTTGAGGACTAGAAACTGAAACACACCCCCCCTAGATTTTTCAAGCTTCAGGAGCTAATCAGGTTGGTTTCCACGCTTGGCCAGCTCATTTCCACTTGTGTCTTTCTAGCATCAGTGTTGTGTGATTCTGGCTAGACCGGCCTCTTTCTTAGGATATCACAGCAAAGCCCCAGATAACAGGTGCCGTGACCTTTCAGTAGCTTAACCAGGTCACGTGGCTCGAAGTTGTTAATGTGCCAAAGCTAATCCCTAAGTCTTTGACTAGACCATGTATGCTCAAAGATGTGCTTTGTCACTTGCAAACTGGGTGAGGACTTGCCTGTTGCAGACTTGATCTCGTCGAAAGCTTCCCAGAACATTCTTTGTGCTTAGGGACGTGAGGTCTGTTTATTTTATTACATCAGATGTGCTCATCCAGAGAGTGAGTATTCCTCATGCCTTTCACTTCCTGCATTTTTATGCTGATTCCTGAAGCTGATTCTCTCTGGGCACTTGACAAATAAGACCTTTAAAATATATGCATAAAAGCCGTTTGCATGTACACCAATAAACAGACAGGAGATACGGAGAAATACATGGAAAATTTTATCTGGCCAGGGCGGCTTATTTTATATTGTATTTTTGTATTTTTAATTTAATGCTTATATTTTTTAATTTAAGATTATAATAATTTTAATTTATTGTTGTAAGCCGCCCCGAGGCTTCGACGAATGGGGCGGCATAAAAATGTTTTAATAAATAAAATAAAATAATTTTAAGCCACCCTCAGTCAGAAGAAATCTACAGACTGGCTAAAAACTTCTCAAATTCCCAAGATAAAAAGGTCTTAACCTTGCAGCAAGATAATTATAATTACATTTCTGCACGGCCCACAGCCAAAGCTGTTTGGGCAGTTCGCAACATGGGAGTCACCCATCCAGATTTCAACCAGGTCTGACCCTGCTTAGCTTCTAAGATTAGGCTAAATTGCAGTCCTGTTGGCACCAGGCAGGCCTCGACAGGGAAATCCTTCTGTAATTGGGGGCCACCACCTAGGAGGCCCCTGCCTTTGTTGCTGCTTCCTGAGCCTCTCTTGAAGGATGTAAGCCGCCCCGAGGCTTCAGCGAATGGGGCGGCATAAAAATGGCATAAAAATGTTTTGAAAATAAAAATAATAATAAAAGGAGACAACAGAAGGAGGAGTTCTCTATAAAATAACGGTTCCTCTTCCATGTCAGCACAAAGATGTGATGCGGGTGGGTATGTCATCGATGAACTAGAAAACTGGTTTCAAACTGCTTGCTTCTGTTATTTGAGCCTAACCCAAGTAGCATGGGTTTAGGCATTAAGAGAGCATTACTTCTCAGCTTATGTCAGAGATAATTGTGCTTTTCTTTGAGAAATTCATATCACACCTTTCAGTTGGTGTTTCCAAGGCAGCTAATACCACACGTTTTACATTAAAACAACAAAAGCCCAAACTAAAAGCAATGTAAAAAGTCAGAAAGTGAAATGGCATTTTGAACCATCCAAAACGCATCATGACATGGTTCAAAGCTTTACGGTTGGTCTTCTGACAGCAAAACTGATTTTTAAAAAGGTGCCAGATGGACGCATCCAGAGAGACCACTCATTCCACGATTTGGGCACGACGGCCAACAAAATGCTTTCTTCCCTTGCCACCAGGCCTGGCATTTAAGGTTACAGCGAGCAGAGCAGTTTCTTCTGTACTAGCACTGATCTTAATTCGTTGTGCTGATGATGAGTACGGATGCTGTGGCTTTGCACCCCCGCTCTGCAATGGGGGTGCCATTCCCAGAGCAGCCCACAATTAAAGGGTTCGCAGATGCCCTTTTAGGAACTGATCCTTAAGGTTGCCGATGTGTTTGTTCTGCGGAACTCCCTGCAGGTGGAGACTAATTGGAGTCTGCTGTTGGTTCTCCAGTGGGCAAGCGCCCTTTTATTCCCAGCGGGGTCAATGTTTAACTTCCTCTCTTGGCTTGAGTGCTATTTCTATTCTCTCACTATGTTTTTAGTCTTGTAATGTACTTAATACTAATCATGTTAAAGAAATAGTTCTTGCAATTGATGGATTTGATTTAAATTGTGTTGTAAGCCGCCCCGAGGCTTCGGCAAGGGGCGGCATAGAAATGTTCTAATAATAATAATAATAATAATAATAATAATAATAATAATAATAATAATAAATCAAATCGATTTAAATCATGATTTAAATCATGGCTTTCTATATAATTGACACACATGCCTGCTTTTCCTGTAGGTACAGGAACAGCTTTAAAATATTCTAAAATGAGTCTCTTTGCTAACATTATAGGGTTTCTCCTCCATGATAAACCTCAGGCTATGTGCAAAAAGATCCAAAGTGATCTTTGAATATTCCTGTGGAATATTCTGCTCTAAAGGTTTCACTTTTATTTTTGCTGCTTGCCCCTTTCTCCTCACACTTAGCTGCTTGTGCAGATCTGTTCCACTCCCAACTGCCCGCTTCTGTCCATTGAATTTTTTGAAACTTAGCCCTTAGGGGGTAAAGGGGTTGATTCTGTCTACATAGATTTGCTAAGGAACAATGGGATTCAGGTCTCAATTCGGTATGTTTGTTTGATAACATTTTTTTGCTGTGATGAAGGAGGCATGTAATCTCTGCAGACACACATTCACATTTTGAGAACTGTAAAACTGAAAATCTATGATAATATCTTCTAGAGAGAAAAACTGGCCAATAATCTTACAGGTACCTCTGGTAGAGCATGACACTGTGAATGGATCATTTACCAAAAAGTGTAAACATTGCATGACTGTACAGCCTCATGCTAGATAATTAAAAACTAATCCTTATGTCTTGATGAATAACCTTTGGAATATAATGTATCTTAAATAGAAAACTATCTTTAGATAGATTTTCCCTCAAAAAGCATTTTATTTTTAAAAAATCTGATTTAAATTATTTAATATTATAAATAATTTAAATAATATTATTTAATATAAGATAATATAGTAAATAATATTTAAATTATTGTATTAATCTGCTTTATTATTAAAATAATCATTGATTTTTATCCACCCTGCTCACCATTCTAAGCTGCCTTGATTGCCACTTCCTTGGTGGAAAGACAGGATATAAATCAATGGATAAAGTTTAGATATTGTAGAAATAAATATGCTTTCTGGGGGGAATGCAGAACATGGGAGCAAAGTCTTTAAGCTTTCCCAGAGGTAACTGGCTGATGCGAAATGGTCAAGTAATCCCAGTGTAATGCACTTTTGGGGGGGATCTGTGTCTTCTAGGCGTAACCACTGGAGACGGACAAGATGGCGCTCCGCTTCCGCACGTTCCTTCCGTTCGCCATCCCCGGAGTGCTGGCGCTCATCGGCTGGTGGTGGTTCTCTTTGCGCAAAAAGGAGCACGCAAGCAATCATGGCAGACGAGGCTCGGCCAGCTTACTAGAGCAGAGGGTGGGCTCTCCCAAGAGGGCGCCTTGCTCCAAAGAAGACACCCCCTTGGACAGTGAATTTTCTGCACCTCAGGAGGCCGCGCAGCCGTTTGAGCCGTCGGCGGATTGGCCTTCGACGGAGCACAGTGCACAGGGTGGTGATTCCTCAAGAGGAGACCGGCCCGTGGTGCCAAAGGCGGCCCTAGGGTCCGGCGCGCTTGGGGATGACAGTGGGAAACTGGAAGTGCTGGGGTGTCCGAGCGTTTCTGGGCCCCCTGTGCCGGAGTCTTCCATTCCGGACGTGCAGGTGGCAGAGGAGGAGTCCCTTCCGTGTCAGTTGCGCGAGGAGCGTGCCTCCACACAAGTTGCCGCTCAGGTGCTGTCAGCAACGTTGACAGCCCTTCAGACAGAGGCTTCGTCTTGGGAGAAATCGGGCGCTTGCCGTGGGCCGGTGGCAGCGCGAGACGTTCCTTCAGCCCAGTCTGTGAAAGACGACCGGCGGCCCGTACCCTCGGGAGATGCCTCCTGGCCTGCCCCCTCCCCTGATGTGGCCAAAGGAGCCCTCCCTGACCCCCCTTCGGAGGCTGCGGAAGTGAAAGCTGTCAATGGTAGTGTCGTTGGTGAGGCGGAGACGGAGGCTGGCGTGACAGATGACGAATGCGTGGGACCCGCCAGCTCAGAATTGGCCCAGGAAGTCAAGACGTCCAGAACATCCTCTGGTAGCGCGCTGAAGAATCAAGCCTTCGGAGAAGTTGGACGCCGGAGTAGCTCAGAGAAAGACAGGGCTGGAGGCATCGCCTTGGACAAAGAAGAAGTTGAAAAGATTGAGGAGGTTGCCATCCATATAATTTCCAACGTGATCCGAGCTGCCACCGAGGAAGTACTGTCTGCATCTGTCCCCGATGTGTCCGACAGGATGTGTCAAACGCCCAGCCATGCTGAGGAGCCCACAGGAAACGTGCCCGCGGCATCCTGCCAAGGGGATGAATGTTCGGCAGACGCGGTTGAACCTTCCCCCCTGTCAGAAGAGAACGTCAGTCGCTACGCCATCTTCTCAAGCCAGTTGATGCATGGCCGGCTGGTCAACCCAAATTTCGGCCCGCCCAGGGACTCTGTATGTGCTGTGGACCCCACCAGCACCACAGTGGGGAACCACGAGGAGGAGTTTGAAGACCCTCACACAGCGACAGATTCTGGTTGCAGCGCGTGCACCTCGGAAGATGGAGTGAGTGCGGAGGACCTTCTGAAAAGCTCCTCTTCTCCTGCTTTGGGGCAGCTCCTGGATTCGCTGAGCGTGCCCTCAAAGAAAGACTCTGAGCACAAGTCGGCCTCTGGCAAGAAACCTCCTTGCCCAGCCGTGGCGGAGGACAAGGCCCCATACAGCAACGGGACGCTGAAGGACGGCTGCCCCGCTCTGGGCTGTGAACCGCCGTGGCCCGCAGAAATTGATGGCGATCACTCAGGAGGTAAAGGTTCTTTCTTGCCCTCTTACCTTTGTCCTGTTTCGGAAGCTCTCTGGGGCACCTCTAGGCCTGAAAGCCATGAGGGTTTCTCCCAGAAAGCTAGATCTTGCGGGGCAACAAGGAAAATGTATGGCCAGTGGATATGGTACATACGAAGTCGCATTAAGAAGGGGGATGTGTGACCATCCAGACATGGATGCATTGTGGGTTGTATTAGCCTGCATGAATGATAGGAGTTGTAGTCCTGGGTGATAGGACATTCTCCAGCCCTGGTTAGGCAGTCCTTTCTATCTCTGCCTCCAGTACCCAATTCGCTAAAAGGAATAATACCTGGTTCGTTATACCTTGCAAGGATGTATTGTATACATAAACGCTCTTTGAATGCCCTGACGTATGAATGCTGCTAAATTCTCACCTGAAGAGAAGATTAATTGGATCCCCCTTATTAGCTGTTGTAACAGTCCAGTTTGTGCTAATGCTTGAAAGCTTTGGAAATAAAAATCCACGTCAATAAACTTGGCCTTCAGACGAAGCAGCTCGGGGTTTTTTCTATAGTGTTTTGAATTCCTAAGTTCGGCATGGAGAGGAGCACGGAGCTGCAGAAGCCGGCTGCTGTGCGCTCACGTAATCATAACATTGCGTTCACTTTTGTATAAATCTCGGCTGTTAAACTTGTGCTTGCCTGATTGATGAAGGCTGGCTGCTGGGCATGACGAGCGAAGCTGCCGAATTCATACGTTGCAGTTAGAAGTGCAGCCAGCTTTAGCCTTGCTTGATGAAAGGGAATCCTAAACATGGCAAAAGTTTTTGGCTTTGCAACAGATGCCAGAATGAGTGAAAGAGAAAAAGCATGCAGGCACTTTTCTCATGGAGTGGGACTATTTTAATCTTCCTGACATCAAGTCAAGTCTCTATTCATGAGCAATGCAGAATCAGTGCCTTTGGAAAGTCACCGTACTTGCATTCAGTTTCTGACCGCTGCAGAGATTACTGGGAAGCGTAGTATAGTGGTTAGAGCCAATAAGACGATGTATTTTGCCCTGAGCTGTTTTGTGGTAGAGTCAATTAGTAAACACAATAGGTCCCTTTCCTATACCATATACCTGAGTCGTTCTGTAGGGGACGGGATAGAAAAGCTATACATACATACATACTGTCTCTTTCTTTCCTAAGGGTCTTGGATCTTTTCTTTCCCAAGGGTCTTTGTGTTGTAAGCCGCCCCGAGACTTCGGCAAGGGGCGGCATAGAAATGTAATAATAATAATAATAATAATAATAATAATAATAATAATAATAATAATAGTTTTCACAGCGCCAAAGGATGGATGGCAAAAGAGAGGCGTGGGGGGGGTGATGGGGAGGGGGTGGGAGGTGGAGGCCCCGTTCCCCACAAGTGGTGAGTCCTCACTAAAAGTTAACCCCCATTACCCAGCCCCCTTGCGCTGCATGCAAATAGGACTAACCGGCCACGGTTTTAGCGTTACCCTGTTTCTTATTGCACTGTTCTTATTCTGTCGATTTATGCTTTTTATTGTCCTCTGCTCCAGAATCTGTCTAGCTGTGGAGCAGTGTTCAAGTATTTATTTATTTAAAATATTTTTGCCCCGTTCTGCACAGAAATCGGTCCAGGATGGCTTCCAATAATAAGAACAGTAAATAAAACAACATATTAAAACAAACAAAAATAAAATGTGACGGTTAATATATTAAAACCAAATTAAACTAAATTAAAGTACTGAAAAGGCAGACAGACAGACAGACACAGACAGACAGGGGTTTGATGGCACGTTGTCTTGGCTTGTTTCTCTCCCAAGGGTATACAGTGTTAGGAATCTGTCCCTGTTTTCCCTCCTCCCAAATTCCTAAGAGAAGATCCAAAATGCAGCCTCAGTCAAGAGAACATGCCAACTGGTGGCATTAGAAAGCTTTAAAATAGCCCTTGCAGGATTGACTCTCCAGCCCCAAGCTGTTTTTTAGAAGTAGTCGTTGGAAACGGAGGACTGGTCACCCGGGATGCTGTAGCCATGCTTCCAATGCCTCTGCCCCCACCCCACCCTGCGTAGGGAAGAGGGGTTGGATTGGGGCCATGGGAGGGCAGCCCGCACCCCACGCACCTCCAGATCCAAATTCCCCTTTCCCACCCTCCCATGACGGCTGCGTTTTCCACAGAGCTTTCCACTCTGGAAGCTCCCCGTTTCCGTCTTCTTCCTAACCATTTGGTAAGACGCTCCATGGTGTGGCTCCTTCTTTCCCATCTGTAGGCTCAGATGTTAATAGCATGGACTCTGTGGACAGTGACTGTGCTCTCCAGAAGAACGGCAACTCGAAGGTGGAAGCGGACTCCGGCAAGATTGAGCTGGTGATCTGGGAGATAGAAGTACCAAAGGTAATGCCCGACATTTCCTCTTGCTGTTCTGTTCTTAATTCATCGCATCATAAAAGAACAGGTTTGAAAGGGACCCTTAAGGCCATAGGCTGTGTGTCTCCAAGTTAAACCATCTCTACCGCTGGCTGCCCGTCTGCATTTGGATCCCTCCAGTGTGGACCGCAAGGCGATCAAGCCGGTCAGTCCTAGAGGAGATCAGCCCTGACTGCTCCTTAGAAGGCCACATCCTGAAGATGAAACTCAAATGCTTTGGCCACCTAGTGTGAAGGAAGGACTCACTTGAGAAGAGCCTGATGCTGGGAAAGATTGACAGCAAAAGAAGGAGGGGACGGCAGAGGATGAGGTGGCTGGATGGGGTCACTGAAGCAGTCGGCGTGAGCTTAGGTGGACTCCGGGGGAAGGTGGGGGACAGGAAGGCCTGGAGGAGTGTTGTCCATGGGGTCGCGATGGGTCGGACACGACTTCGCAACTAACAACAAGTGTGAGAGACTCATTGTTTCCCTAGGTCAGTGGTGGCAAACCTATGGCACACAAATCACAGCGGGCAAGCAGAGCCCTCTCTGTTGACACACAAGCCCATTCGCCCCAGCAGCCGTGCATTGGGTAACAGCGCACATGGGCCATGTGCTTGGTCGGAAAGGAGTAGCAACGCCAGGCAATGACTCGTCCAAGCTTTCGCGTGGTCGGTCAGTGCACTGCCAAGGATTTATATGTATTTGCTTGGACCGGCTGTGAGTTGTTTTTCCTAAACTAAAACCTCAGTTTTCAGGTTTTATTGCAGTGTTGGCACTTTGCGAGAAATAAGTGGGTTTTGGGTTGCAGTTTGGGCACTCGGTCTCTCAAAGGTTCGCCATCGCTGCCCTAGGTCGTGGGTTCCACTGGCGTAAGGTTGTAACACTCGGGAAGTTCTTCCTGATATTCAGGTGGAATCTGACTTCCTGGAACTTTCGTTCCATTTCTGCACTGGGATGATGGACAAGAGGCCCTGTTTCTCCTCCGTGTGGCAGCCATTCAAGTACCGGAGGGTTGCTAACCTCTGTTCGGCTTTCTCTTCTCAAGGTTAAACATGCCCAGTTCCTTCACTCTTTCCTCATAGGGCTTTGTTTCCAGTCCCTGGATCATCCTTGTTGCCCTCCTCTGAACCTTCCCAGCTTGTCTGCATCTTTCTTAAGCTGTGGTACCCAGAACTGGACACAGGACTCCGGATGAGGCCTAACCGGCACTGAGCAAAGGGGAACTAGTGTGTTGCATGATTTGGAAGTCATACTTATTAATGCAGCCCAAAATAGCATTTGACTCTTTGCAGCTGTGTCCTACTGTTGATCCATATTCAGCTTACAGTTTTTCTATAAGGCATTCACAAAGTTTTTGATGTTTTAGGACCAGATGAAAGGCAAAATGTGGGATACAGCAGTAAAAATTCAACCAGCCTGGATGGAAATTGGGAATTGATCTGCCGTGGCAGATGGGGACAAGGAAGAGAAGCCGTGGGGAGGGGACCAAGATGCTCCGGCTGCAATGGAAAATATCTCCCTTTGCACGGAGGGCCTGGCGGATCCTTTTGACCCCACCCACTGTAAAAGCAGTGCTTTCTTTTGCATGTCTGTGCACCCTCATGCTTGGGGTCTTGTATCTCTTACTTCAAAAACGTGACTTCAGAACTTTCCGCACCTGAAATGGGCATTTCTGCATGAGCAGAGCAGCGAGGGCCAAAGGGGGTTTTGCTGTGTGTCGATTCAAATGGCATTGTAAAGGTGGCAGATCCCTGGAATGGCAAAATGGAAGTTACCTGGTCAAATGGAACAGGGATGCCAAAACGCAGGCCTTATTTCCACAGCCCCAGCACCTTTCTCCTGACCAGCAGTAGCTTGGTGACTTCCTGACTTTGCATGGGAACTTTTCCATTCCCACTGGTAGATATACTCCTCCTGCAACGTACTGACAAATTAGTTTTTAAGCCAAAATAGGCTGATATTTGGTGTTTTGACTCTGGCCTCCCCTAGAATGTGGCTCTGGAGAGACTCTGTGACTAAAAGATACTTGACACCACCAACAAATAGATGAGTGTTCCTCCATGTCAACTTTCTAATGCATCGCCTTAAATTTTGCTGTTGAGGGAGTGAGGTCTAGTGGTTAAAGTGTTGGTCTGGGATCTGGGTGATCGGAGTACTAGGCCTGGCTTAGCCACAAAGCTCCTGGGGGGCTTTGAGCCAGTCACTGAGGAGAAAATGGAGAAGGCAGGAATTTTGTGCGCCATCTTGAGTTCCTAGCACAAGGAATTAATATATATAATATACAATAAAATGCAAAAACTACCGGTAACTTGCTAGGTCAGCTGAGCCCCAACTGGGGCGACATCTTTACTGTTTTTATCATTATTGATCTAACCAGGGAAGGCTGGGAAGGTGTTGTTTGACTCTGCTAACCGTGTGCTCCCCTTTTCTCATGTTCTGCAGCACTTGGTTGGGCGTCTGATAGGCAAACAGGGGAGGTATGTGAGTTTCCTGAAGCAGGTGTCTGGTGCCAAAATCTACATTTTCACACTGCCTTACACCCAGGATTTCCAGATCTGCCATATAGAAGGTGAGTGGATGGCCACTTGCGTTTGAAACCCTGATCTTTGCTGATGAGTGACTGAAACAGAACTTGGAAAATACTATGATTTGATTATTGTGTTTCTAAATGTTTTATATTACTTTTATTATATTTATCTTTAGGCTGTTGCTTTGTCCTTTTCATATGATTGTAAGCAGTTTTTGGGGATCGATTATTATTATTTAATTAATTCAAACTTTTTTTAGGCGTCCCTTACCATAGTCCCGGGACAGGTTAGCAATAAGACAAAATAAAATAAAACACGGCATCCTAATCAGAATTTTCCAATCAACAATAAAATGCCACATTAAAACAATCAGGTCTTAAAACATTAGGAAAACGGTTTTAGCCTGGTGCCAAAAAGAATAAAGTGATGGCTCCCGGCAAGCCTCTCTGGGGAGGGAATTCCACAATGCAGGGCCACCGCAGAGAAGGCCCTTCTCCAGGTAGTCACCCTCCTAATCTCCTTCAAGGAGGGCTCCTGGAGAAGGACCTCTGCCCCAGATCTTAATGGGCGGGCAGGCAGGCATATATGGAAGGAGACACTCCTTCAGGTAAAAGTGATTATAAAAATGAAGGAAAAACGATCAACTTACATTTTTTTAAAAAATGGAAGATGGTTGTAAGAAACTCCCGTATCTTGATTTTGGGTAATGGGTGCTGTTCACCCCATTTTTCCTGTGAGCAGTAGGTGCTTGCCAGAGTTTTTCTCAGCCTATCTCTTTGAACTCCTTTTTAACCGGTGTTGCTGGGAATTCAACCGGGGAACTGATCCCTTCAAAATGCATGCTCCACCACACCTTAGCACCTTATCCGTCCTTAGTTGCAGGTAAACCACCAGCTGTCTACCCAACATTTGCTGGCTCCGTGGTCTTCCCACTGAGATGATACTGTCAGAATCCAGGAATCTCAATTTGAGAAGAGGAAATAAAACTCGGGCTCGTGGGAAAGATCAAGCGTCCAGACCATCTTGGCTTTATTGCATTATCCAGGTTCCCTGCGGGTCTGTACTCACGATAATGCATTACCGGGCAGGCAGAGGTAAACTCTGCTGCAAAGCTTCAGCACAACTACAGAGTTTTTATACACTCCCAGTTAGGTCACAGGTACAGGGCAATTGATGACAGAATGCAGAGATTACAATAAGGTTCGGAGGTCATCACATACAGAACAGATAAAGGAATGTCAGTCAATCATACAGAGACAATGAGATTACAATATTTCTAATTGCAGTGTATTGACATTTTAGTTGAGTAACTTGAACCCATCTCCAGGTCTGCTCAGACATGTAAATTCAAGCTACTGAGAAACTATTCATGATAAGCTCAGACCCTTATCTGACCCTCTAGACATTCTGAGTGACCAGGACTAGGAAGATACTTCCTGGTAAACTGAATTCCAATGCCATTTTAAACAGTGACTTAGCTTCGTTTTGAGAAGGAGTATAGGATTTGATCCCACAATGCAAAAAGCACACAGAAGTAATGTTTTTCTGACAGGATTTATCCAAATTTTCCCAACAATACCAAGCACCCCTTCCACTTTCCTGTCTTTAAGTACCTTATTTAATCATTCATTCATTCGTTTTTCGATTTCTATCCTGCCTTTTTTTTCTACGAAGAGCTCAAGGCAGCTTACATCATTCTCCTCCTCCATCTTATCTCCACAACAACAACCCTGTGAGGTAGGCTGGCCTGAGAGTCTGTGAGTGGTCCAAAATCACCCAGTGGGCTCCATGGCTGAGCGGGGACTCGAACCCAGATCTCCTGAGTCCCAGTCCCAGGCTCTTAACCACGACACCACACTGGCTCTCTACACCTTTCCAATCATAAGGACTAGAAAAGAGTTCAGCACACCTCTTTCATCCAGGTGTCCATCCTCAGCAACCTACTTTGGGTGGGCAGATGGTCCTGAAGTCTCAAAACAGGGCTTGCCCTGATTTCTGTCTGTCCAGCGTTCCAGCCACTCATTCTTTTTCTCCCACGAGAATCAGCCCCCGTGCCGTGGTCACTGAGCAAGTCTGAGCATTCCCTGATCTGGTTTTGGTCAGGGGTAGCCCTGAGAATTGTTCCAAATAGTTTCTTGCACTTTTGAAAAACCTAAAACCGCTAATCTCCTATCGTTGGTTGGTGCCATTTTGGTACACAAAAAATATTGGAAACCAGGCCGAATGGGAAGATCTTGCTTTCAATGGGCTTTCAATGGGCTTGCATTTTTGATGGGCTTCCAACAAGAACCTTTAGCTGTGAAGTTCTCTTTCTGCAGGGAGTGGCTCTGCCCTGCCTCAAAGTGATACAGATAAGCTCAGTTTCTTGTTTGCCTCTAGAAACCTCAGTGTCTGCTTTGCTTTTCTTCTCCTCTTTGCGCCTTTCCAGGCTCTCAGCAAAATGTTGACAAAGCGCTGAGCTTGATCGGCAAGAAATTCAAAGACTTGAGCCTGAACAACATCTATGCTCCGCCGCCACCTCCGTTGCCACTGCATTCTCTCCCCATGACCTCCTGGGTAAGCATGACTTCTGAGCAGCATATCCCATCTTCAGTGAGCCACGCAGGAGTCTTGGCTGACAGTGGAGCCAAATTCACTGGTCCGTTGGGTCCAGGTGTCTCACGGTTCCCTTTAGGCAGACCTCCGTGATTCTGTCCTTTGCAACGTTCTGGATTCTGTGGGTGCGTGTTTTTCGAGCACGACGCACTGCTGCAGGTGTAGGGAGCAGTGTGCAAGCACTCATACTTTGCATAGTTGTGAATTTATTTTTTTTTAAGGCAGGTGTAGAATTTGAAGTTTGGGAGTGCTGTTACAGAGTCAGGGCTAACGACAAATCGGGAGAGGGGGGGTTGCGGACTGCCGGCTCCTTGCTTCTTCCTGGAAGATGATGCTAGAGAGCAAACGGCTACATTTGCTCAATTCTAGAGAGAAAGGTGGGACAGCCACCTGGTTGTTTTAAAGTTGAAGTTTAAATATCCAGCGCAGGGGAGGCAGGGGGTTCCAGTGCCTGCCCAAGAGAATGGGCTGGATGAGGGCCAATAAACTGAGCCTCAGTCCAGATAAGACGGAGGTCCTTTTGGTAGGTGGTTCAGGTTTTCAGGTAAGTGACTTTGGCCCTGTCCTGGATGGGGTGGGGTTGCACTAAAGGACGGGGTCCGCAGCTTGGGAGTGCTCCTCGACCCGGAACTGTCCCCGGAGGCCCAGGTGGAGCGCTTTCCTTCAGCTTCAGCTGATCCACCAGGTGCGTCCTTACCTGGATGAGCACTGCCTAGCAATGGTGACACACGCTCTACACCAGTTGAACTATTGTAACACACTCTATTGGGGCTGCCCTTAAAGACGGTCTGGATACTTCAGTTGGTTCAGAACAGAGCCACCAGATTGCTGTCGGGAGCCGGTCGTTATTCTCATATAACACCAGTCCTCTATCAGCGTCACTGGCTCCCGATTGAAGTCTGGGCCCAATTTAAGGTGCTGGTATTGACCTATAAAGCCCTAAATGGCTTGGGACCAGGATACCTGAAGGAATGTCTTTTTCCCTACATGCCCAGATCTGCAGCAGAGGCCCTGCTCTGGGAGCCCTCCTTGAAGATTAGGAGAGAACATACTCAGAGTAGGGCCTTCTCAGTGGTGGAGCCCAGATTCTGGAATGTGCTCCCCAGAGAGGTTCACCTGGCGCTGACATTATGTGCTTTTTGGCGCCAGATCAAGACCTTTTTTATTTTTTTGTAATTTTAATGTTTAATATTTTAACTGTGTTTTATGCTCAGTCGTAGATTACTTTGTATTATTTGCATATATATGTATTTATTGGATTTTGACTTGTAAGCCGCCCAGAGACCCGCAACGTATTGGACGGGGTAAAAAAATACCCGAATAAATAAATAATGCACTCCTCCGGGGTGCCCCTGGAGACACATGCCAGCTTTCTCCAAATCACCTACTGTTCGTGTTTTCCTGGGTTTTGTGTTGTTTTTCCCCCTTACAAATTGTTGACATGCCTCTCCTAAAGTTTATTAGAGTTATATTCTGCTTTTTTCTTATAACAAACAAGCATTGTTCTCCTCCTCCTCCGTCTTATCCCCACAACAACAACCCTGTGAGGTAGGTTGGGCTGAGAGTCTGTGACTGGTCCAAAGTCACCCAGTTGGCTCCATGGCTAAGTGGGGGGCCAGAATCCCAGTCGCTTGAGTCCCGGTCCCATGTTTTTAACTACTACACAACACAGGCTGTGTTAAGTCACTGGTGGTAAGAACGTGAAGCTAAAACAGCCTGGTATTTTCCAATTATTGTGTGAGGGGGTTGGCCTTGCCCTTTTGATTAGGGCCCCATCCACTCCTGGAATGCAGCTCCAAAACAGAACTGAACCCTTTGGCTGAAGGAGGTTCCCCCGTCCTCCAACAGCTCTGGTCCCAGAGAGGGGGACTGGTCCGTCCGTCCGTCCGTCCGTCATTCATTCATTCATTCATTCATTCATTCATTCATTCATATCCTGCCTTTTTCCTACAAAGGGCTCAAGGCAGCTTACATCATTCTGCTCCTCCATCTTATCCCCACAACAACCACCCTGTGAGGTAGGCTGGCCTGAGAGTCTGTGACTGGCCCAAAGTCACCCAGTGGGCTCCCTGGCCGAGCGGGGACTCGAACCCGGATCCTCCGAGTCCCAGTCCCGCGCTCTTCACCACTGCGCCACCCTGGCCTGCACGGAATGACCTCCGCGGTTGAGTGCATTCCCTTGGAGCTCGTCCAGCGCTCTGCCCACTACACCACCTGCCTGCAACCTGCAAAATGTATGTCCTTCCCCACCATATGGAAACTTACATTCTTTCTCCCTCTGTGCAGCTCATGCTTCCCGACGGGGTCACTGTGGAAGTGATTGTGGTCAACCAAGTCAACGCCGGACACCTCTTTGTACAACAGCACACACACCCCACGTTCCACGTCCTCCGCAATTTAGACCAACAGATGTATCTCTGCTATTCCCAACCCGGGATCCCAACCATGCCGACTCCGGTGGAGGGTAAGGGTCTCCTGTCCTCGACTCCTGGTCCTTTCGTGTCCTTTGGTAGAACGGACACGATTTGTATCCTGTACGATTCTTCTCTGCCTGTCGCGCACAGTCCGGCAGGTGAATCGTCCCCTGAGAGCAAAAGGTGGGGCTTAGGGGGACAAGCAAGGGGGGGAAATCGCGCGATACGAGTCTTTGCCATCATCATTCATCACGCGATGAACAGAATAGGGAAGAAGGCAAGGAAAAGGTCTCAGCCGTTCTCCTTCGTAGCAAGAAGCAGGACACAGCATGGGATGTAACAGCAAATGTGTCCATAAGCCTCTAAGCGGCGTTGGCATCTTCAGGGTATACGTTCCAAACGAGGGCCAGTGTGGTGTCGTGGTTAAGAGCGCGGGACTGGGACTCAGGCAGTCTGGGTTCGAGCCCCCACTCAGCCATGGAGCCCACTGGGTGACTTTGGACCACTCACAGACTCTCAGGCCAGCCTACCTCACAGGGTTGTTGTGGGATAAGATGGAGGAGCAGAATGATGTAAGCTGCCTTGAGCCCTTTGTAGGAAAAAGGCAGGATATGGATTGAGAAATAATTAATTAGAAAACACCATTTCTTAGGATTTTGTACAAGTAAATGTGTAGAGTTGGAGAGAGGCCTTCCCGAGATACTCCAAGCTGAGCTAGGTTTTAGGACCTACTTACTTCCATCCTGGCAATAAAGATATATATTTATTTAATATATACATTTATGTAATAAATAAAATAAATATATTTATTTAAAACATTTGTATCCCACCTATTGCGCTATAGCATCTCCAGGTGGCTCACACTCAAGCAATATGGAGACACAACGTGTTTTCTCCAGTTTGGTTTGAGGAAATATCCAGGACTTGCATATTTAGGACCTAGTTTGTCCAAAGTCATTCTTCTCTGCCCTGATCCTCCATTTTTTCTGTTGGTTCAGCTGCTTTGTTTTCAGAGCAGCAAGGATGGCCTATAACCCGAGTGAGTTGTTAAAAGTATCAGTGGAATACTGGGGTTTTTTTTAATGAAATAGGATGCTAGTCCCTTTGATCCATTGCGCGCAATACTGTCTGCAGAAGGGCCACAGAATCTTGGGCCAACTCCAGGTTTCCTGGTCTTCTAGATGGAGCCCAGCGTCCTTTTCCCCCAACCTCCAGTCATGTGGACCTCCTGCTTTCTGCCTCTTTTCCTATATTCTGAAATGTTAACGTACCTTTCCTGAGGGCTTTAGATTAAATGCTGTGGATATTTTTGGCCCATGTGCCCTTCCTTGTCAAGAGCTTCCTTGAAGTTCAGTTTGGCCCTCCTGCTGCAAGAGGTTCAGCATCCCCGGTCAGCACCAGAGGGCCCTGCTTCTCCAAGGTTTCAGGCATCAGTCTCTGATGTATGTGATTGGGGTATCAGTGAAGTACTTTCATTGTAATGTGGCACATCCTGTAGACGAGGATATCAGATGGAAAGAGGTGTGTGTTGCTTTGCTTATATGGTGTGTGTTCTCAGGAAGATTTTGCAGCTTTTGCAATACAGCCAGAGCCGGGCACCTTACAGCCAAGTATTGGTGGCTGGTTCCCTTCCACTTTTGCTGCAAAATAACTGACTCCAGCCGAGTTGTGCTTTTGGCTCTGATTGTCTCTGAGAAGAAACAAGCGTGACCTGATGAGGGATACTTAATTGTTAGACAGGTGTCTTGAACCTCTTCCATCCCAAAGGCCAGATTCCATTCCAGAGAAGTTCTCTCAGGGGTCCTTTCCCGCAAAGGCGAAAAAGGCCAACGCCATGTTCTCGCAGCCAGTGATGAAGCGTTTCACCCTTGTATAGAATGGGGAAGAGACTGCACAAAAGCTGGGAAACTGACCCACGCTTGGTTGGGGGAGTGGGCACAGTTCTTGGAGAGGCCCCCAGAGCTCTGCCAGTTTGCTACACGGATATTCTTCAGCCACGACTTAGGAACGGGCTGCAACGCTGACCGGGATGGGAAGCTGGTGTGGTGGGTTCTGCCCAACCCGTGCCCAATCTTTGTGCCGTGCAGTCGGTGTCGTCTGTGCCGCCCCGGGCATGGAAGGCGCATGGTGGCGGGCGCAGGTGGTCGGCTATTTCGAGGACACCAATGAAGTGGAGATCAGATACGTGGACTACGGCGGCTACGAGAGGGTCAAGGTTGACATGCTCCGGCAGATCCGGTGAGCAGGCCCAGAGCTTTTCCCGGGGCTGTGGGACCGCGACAGGTTCTTGGGCTGGGGGGAGTGGGGGAACGTGCGGATGCAGAATCCATGCGGTCCAGCAGGAGCTGCTAGCCTTGGACTGGGGGCCCTGGTCGCCCTCAAGCCCTGCCCACCTCTGGTGGTGCTTTTCCTACACAACCCTCATTCCTTCAGACCTGCCCACGGACACCGTGTGGAAACCTGAGCAGGACGTTCAAGGACAAGGCGTACAGGGGGCCTTCATTCCTAGGGTGTCTGGCTGGCCCACCGTTTTTTAAACAGTGGGCCGGGCATTGGCCTTTGTTGACGCTCCAGGGGGGCCATCCTGTGCGTGTTAGAACAAAAGGCAATTTTGGCATCCCCACCTCTTCCCAGCCAGGTCTGCTGGTTGGGTATTGGAGCCGTTTTGTGTTTCGAGCCATTCCAGCGCTGTAGCATTTGACATCTCCGGGACAGAGACCTTGGCTTTGGGGGCCCCTCTGCAGGAGACCTTGAGTGGAGCTGAAATGCAGGGAAAGGTTCAGACTCGCTCATCTGGTATCCAGCCTGTGGGGCTTGTTTTTGCATCCTAATAGTTCCCTGAAGACTGGAAAGGACAGAAGCAGCTGTTCTGCATGGTGTTACCATTTTACAGTGTGGCTCAGGCCATTCGTGTTTTTCGAAGGCCCCACTTAGCAGAGCAGGGCATAGGCAGAGCCTTAGAGAAGGAAGTCACTAGCACTGGAGTTAATTCAAGACACCAGTCCTCAAGATGCAAGCTAGTTCTCAACTTCCCTGCTATCTGAAGGGGGCTGTAGTTGCTCCCTTTTTACATTGTTGTGTTTAAATAATCTCTGGTGTGTTTTGTTTTAAAGATCGGACTTTGTTACACTACCTTTCCAAGGAGCAGAAGTCCTGTTGGACAACGTAGTACCGCTTCCAGGTAACCGTCTACTGCCAGGGTATTTTAGGGCTTGGGTTTTAAGAGACATTCAATTTATTTCTATATTGTCGATCCACCAAAATGTTCTGAACAGTTTACAAAGATTAAAACCATGAAAATGCAACAGGATAGCATGATGGACTGTGATGAATATATACAAATAGTGAAAACATGTAAACTATAACTTTATTTTCTATGTATGTGTTTATTTATTGCATTTCTATGCCGCCCCATAGCCAAAGGCTCTCTGAACAGCTCACAGTGTGCCATATAAATATATTTAAAATACAGATTAAAATAAATAACAATAAGAAACACAACCAAAAAATAGTAGAATTAACATACATTATAAATACGACCATATAAATAGGAAACAGGAGGAAAATAAAAACTATGACCAAAAACAATAACCAGTAAAACAGTAAACAGTAAACAACACCAGCAGCAAACCAGTAATCCAATCTAAAAACAGATACTGAATAAGAAGGTCTTGACTTGGCGTGAAAAGCAAAATAAAGTGGGTGCCAGTTGCACCTCCCTCGGAAGAGAATTGTATCTCAGAACCCATTAATGATGCTGAGAAGGGGGAACGTCTGAAGCTGGGACTGCAAATACGGTGCCAGATGGACTGCATTTGGGAGCAGCTTGTGTCCCGTGCTTAGTTGGGCCAGAGGGAAGCAGGAGGAGGTGGAAAGCGTATTTCAGATTGCATGTAACTTGCAGCTGCAACTCTCCATTCGTATCAACCGACTGGCGATCTCAAGAGGGGTTGTTTCCACTGCAACTGCAGAGATGCAAACCCACAAGATTAGGCTCCTCTGCCTGTACGGGTTGATTGAGATGGTGTGCGGTGGTGTTTGTACGATGCACAGGAATTTATGTTTTGGTTTGGGGAGGATGTGGAGTGACATCATAAGAGGGCATTCCGACGTTAAAAATAGAGAGCTGTGCTGGAGTAGGCGATCTAGTCCAGCGTTGTAGGGAGCCAATTTGCAAAGCTCCAAGGGCAAAAGGGCGCCTTCAGCCCGTGTCCCCCAGTAACTGACGTATGTCGGCACCTCATCACATAGCCCCTGGGACTAGTAACTATTCATCTTTGGAACTCCCTCCCTAGGGAACTCTGCCTGGCGCCATCTCTATGTTCCTTTTGGCGCCAGGCAAAGACCGCTTTTTAGGAAATTTTTCAGCACTTAGCCTGAATGCTGTGGCCCTTTCTATATTGCTTTCATAGATGTTTTAATTTGTTGTGTTTTAATGTTTTACTTTGTTAATATGTTTTATGTATTGTAAGCCTCCTAGGAAGGTCCTGGCAGTTATAGTTGGCCTATAAATACACGTGGGAATAAACAAATAAGTGTGTCTAAAGTCCACCAGTCTCTTAAGGCATCCAAACTGGTGGCCAACTTCCTGTTGCAAATTCTGATGTTTGGCTTTATTCGGGTTTCTTTCTCAGCAGTCAGCTTCATGCAGTAACCACAGGTTCTGGTATGTAGAACCAGAAATGATCTAGATTCGGTCAGCAAAGAGAATGATGTTTCTCTCTCTCCCTTTCCTTGCCCAAAAGATGATGATCATTTTTCATCTGAAGCAGACACAGCTGTTAGTGAAATGACCAGGGGTACACCTTTGCTTGCCCAGGTATGTGTAACATCTGTCCCTTTGTCATGTGGCACCGCTTTTTGTGCTGGAAAGGAGGAAGCTTCATGTCTACAGCCAGAAATTATCGCTTTGCTCTGCTGAAGTGTTGCATAAAACCCATCTTCTAGATGTTTGGGACTTTTCAGCTCCTGCAACCCTGTCCAACAAAGCTACTGATCAGGAATGTTAGGAGTGAGAGTCCAAAAAGTCTGGAAAGGACCCGGTTGGAAGGGGTTGGTGTAGAATATTGGTGCAGTCCTTTTGTGGTGGTCGGTGTTTGTGCGGGGTGGATGGGGTTTATCTGGGCACGTTTTCTTCTCCAACTTGGAAGAGGTACTTACCAGTCACGACCCGGAGCTGCCTGGAAATTCAAGCATTCCCCGAAAAACACACTCAGCAGTTTAACATCTGGCTTTAGATCTGGCTGTTAGGGCAACGTTGAGAGCCAGTGTGGCGCCGTGGTTAAGAGCACAGGATCGGGACTCGCGTGACCTGGGTTCCCACTTGGCTGTGGAGCCCACTGGGGGACTTTGGGCCAGTCACAGAGTCTCAGCCCAACCTACCTCACAGGGTTGTTGTTGTGGGAATAAGATTGAGAGTAGGAGGAGGAGAATATGTATGCTGTTTTGAGTTCTTTTTTAAAAAGTGGGATATAAATTAATAAACGTTTCAAGGAAAGGATTGTAGAAGAGAGTACTTTAAGTAGAAGCCAAACTTTACACATTTGATCAATTAAGGGAAGCAATTTTTAGTGGCAGCCCTAGTGCCAATGTAAAAACATTTCTTTAACCCATTCTGCTTAGCCCATCTTTGACCAGGTAACAAGAGATCTTTTTGCATTTCCAGGTTACAAATTACGACAGTGCAACAGGTTTACCCCTAATACAGCTGTGGAGTATGATAGGAGACGAGGTACGTGTGCTCCAGTAACGCCTTTGGGGGTTAAGCGGACATGCCTGGAATTGTGAGTGCTCTCACAAAATGGCTGCTGTGGGAAGGCTTGCCCAAAATGGCAGCTCTCGCTCTCTGTTTCTTGGAAACCCCGAAGCACCTGTAGGCAGCTCTTGTTACCACATGGCTTACCCGTTCCTTTGTATGTTTTTCTCTTTTTCAGTTGGTATCGATAAACCGAACTTTGGTGGAAAGAGGCTTTGCTCAGTGGGTCGAAAACTATTAATTCTCCGTGGCTGTTTTCCTGAGACGTCTTCCCTGTGCCTCCTCTTCCCTTCTCCCGTTCTATCTTTGTCTCCTTTTTTTGGCACTGTTTCAGAATTAGGTTTGGCAATCCTCTTTCCTCCCTCCCTCCACTCCATAGACAAAAAGCAAATATGTACATTTGTGGTCTGTTGGGATGTATTCACCTGACAGACAACAGTTTGTACTGCATACCTCATTTTGCAGAAAGGCAGGGAGTTGAATGACGTAAAGCCATAAAGAAACTGCAGCTTTAAAATCCGACTCCCTTTCCTTCTCCCTGACCTGGGTCCAAGCTCCAAAAAAATTACCAATAATCTAGTGAACAAAAGAAAATTGACAGGAGGGTTGTAAAAGAATCGTCCATGCAGGGCTTAAACTGTGGATCGAACCTACCCATATTTCCTAAATTGACCGCTGCCTTAAAATTAAACTCGTGTAGTAGGTAAAATTGCTTTCATATGTCCCCTTCACCTTCGCCCCCACAAAAAAAAAAAGTTGTAAAAGATTTGACTCTTGGGAGCGCATCACAGATAATGTGGACTTGGATCTGCTTCCAAACAGCAAAAATTAGCTCGATTCACTTCTGGCTGTAGGTAATTGAACGAGATGGTGAAAAGGGCAGTGCCGCTTGTGATCTATTTGTTGACTTTGGTTTTAATTAAGGCTTGGTTTGTGAAAGAAGCAGAAAGTCGCACTGGGCAGACCTCCCTAAACTATATGATTAAGACAGACACTTACAGCTGCAGCCGTTTCAATCCCCAGAAACATGGATTAGCTCCCACAAATGCTTGTCAAATCTGATTGTAATTCTTAACTGTTTTCTAGCTGTTAAAAATCTGTGTAAATATATATAAAAAATCATTGTAATATTTTGTACAAGAGAAAAAAAACTGGCTAACTAAAAAGGGAACTTCAAAACAAAATCATCTTTTTTTCCACACCAAAATGTAGGTAGAAACGGTTTGGGGTGTATCATTACAGCGAAGTGCTAGAAGGTGGGAGAGTTGTGATCTCTCCTGGACAGAAAATCTTTTAACTCTAGCTTGCTTGCTGTATGGTAGGAACGGTAATCAACAAAATCTTTGCTACTTTTTTGCTGTACAGATCTGACTTAAAAGGAAAAAAAGCAACATTTGGAATTAATATTGCAGTGGTGTGTCTCAATTTTTTCCTCCTTTTTAGATTGGTTTCAAATGTGGAATTTACAAAAAAATGAGTAATTTAAGCTAATTTAATACTATTAAATATAAACAAATTTAAACATGGCTGTTGAGTTGGAAGTTATTACTGGTGGGAGAATGTATGAAAATGGCTTGTGTAAATCTACTCATAACCGCTGTGTTTTTCAGCTTGGCCTTCTCGTATGAAAACTGATGTACCTGGCAAATTCTTACTCCTAAGATGCTGTCTTTTGTGTGAAGCCGTGAAGTGTTGAGCTATTAAATGCCTTCAAGCATTAGGAAATAGCGTAAAAAGATTGGTTTCTGATTTGTAAACAATCACTTCGGAATCTGCTCTCGGACAAGTCAAAGGACCGTCTTCCAGCACTGTTCTAGTTTTTTGCTCTTTACTACTCATTGTTGAAGCAAGATTTGAGCCTGGACCCAGGAATTTAATCCAGTGGAAATCCGCTTTCTCTGCAGGGGAGAGGTTGCTAGCCTATCACCCTGTGGGCTGACCCTATTTTTTGTGGGTTCGGAGGTTTGTAACTCAGCCCCTTCCACCAGGGCAGCCCTTGGCATCTGATCTCAGCGTGAGGACTTGGTATGGGCCTTTCTGGCAGGACTTGAATGGAATCCTTCCTCTGAAGTGTCTTTACACACACACAGGCTCTCTGCTGAAATGGATGGAGGTGTTCATCTGGCATCTTCAGGAGTATGGTTTAAACCTGTGAGTGAACGTTCTTCAGACATTAAAGCTTGCAGGAGGAAGCTGTTGCTTTACCTGCCACCAAAATACCCCGGAGAAGCACGTTAGTGGAGGAAGAAATGGTTGAAAGACGCTGGAGAAGAAAATAGAAAGTCTCTGGCCATTTTAACTGTCCTAGCACAAGTCTCTCTTGCCCAGTTTTTGTTTTGCTGTGCCATGCCAGCCAACGTAAGGTCATAAAAACAACGGAAGCTTTTGCTGATCTTCGGGTACTCTGCAAACCTGCTTGCTTTGTCTAAAGGAAAATTTGTGTCTCTGAGTTTATGGACCATGGCATTCTAAATATGAGAAGTTTCACAGTTTCTTGTGATGGTACCTGCCCACACACAGGTACAAAAATGCCACAACTCATCCTGAATACATGCAAACTTGAGCACGCATTTCAAATAACCGACCAACACTTGAACATTGGAATGAAACCAACTTCTTCATTCATGAAAGAACTCTAAGAAGAGAGTTCATTGCCCTTTTTGTCTTACATATTTGCCTACATTCTGGGCCTAAATTGGGCACACAAACTATTATTTTATTTTATTCTTTTATTTTTATTTATTTATTACAAGCATTTGTATCCTGTCCTTCCGCACAAGCCCTCGGGAAGGCTTACATAATATAAAATTCCAAAATACAATAATGAAACCACAATTATTAAAACATCTAAAACTGAACATTATAAACTAAAAATAAAAAAGGAAAAAAAATAGGAAGCATGACTGTGAAAACAAAACATTTTAAAACATCTAAAACCCTTAATTATTAAAGTGATGGTTAAATGAAAAGGTCTTGACCTGGCGCCGGAAGGAGTATAACATCGGCACCAGGTGGGCCTCTCTGGGGAGCGCATTCCATAGTCTGGGTGCCACTGTGGAGAAGGCTACCAAAAGAAAAATTGGCCACATCAGTCAAGCTTTACAGCTTTCTCTCCCTGCCCTATCCTGTAATAGTTAATTTATTTGTTTAGGATTTAGATTATATTGTAAGCCGCCCAGAGATACACGTGATGGATGGCCTATAAATGGCCTAAACAAACAAAACAACACACATGGGCTAGGTGTGGGAGTAAGGGCAACCCTAAAACTGACAATTCTGATTCTGGTGCAAAACACACTTCAATTTCCAGGATTTTCCCCCCGGATTTAGGGCCTGATCAGGCCACATCAGCGGTATTTGGAAATACTGCTAATGGAAATTGACTTCTTGTTAAGAAAAGGTAAAACTGTAGCCTCAGAAGTAGGAATCATTACAGATTTGGCAATTTGGTCCTCCGGTTCCATTTTCTTGCATCTTTAACCACTTGAATGACAGAATTGACTGCAGCTCCATGCACAGTAACTGAAAAGCAATCAATGTATTTGCATAAAGACCACTCTAAGCCTGACCTTCACATGGGGTGAAATCTCCTTCCTTGCTTAAGAGTTTCATTTATTCCTATCTAAACATTCCATCTTGGCATCACAATGACAAGTTTGTAGTCTCAGAATTCAAAAGGGGGAGCTTAAACCTTCTCGGATAGCAAACGAGAAAGAGAAGGGGAAAAAAGTCTGACATTCTCTGAATGGAGAGGAAAGATTTATGTTTTTGTAGCTTTTTTCCTTCCTTTCCTGGTGGCTCACACAGGCATGATGCATCCTCTGCTGCTTTAGAAGTTTTGCCTTCCTTATATTTTTCCAGGGAATTTTCCAACTAGTTTCCCCAAGGAGGTAAGAAAAACACTACCCTATTTTGCCCCTGGAGCTTTTTCCCCACCTTGATATTCCTGGCACAAGAACTCTCGGTATCCTCCCTTTTTGCGTCTATTCCAGCGTCTCCCTTTCTGTAATTGCAAATGCAATTGTTGGCCCAATTGAAGAAAATCTTACTCTCTAGGAAAGCATCTCTTAGATCAGCAGTGGCTTAAATACTTGCCACATTTTGAACCGTTGATAGTAGACGAATAGATCACCCGTGTTCCGGCCTAGCTTCTGCTTTACTCCTGTTTCCTCTCTCTCGCAGGGGTCTCACATGGGATAAGCTTGCATCCAGAATGCTGCAAGGATGCAAAATTCCCAAGTTTTGGCTCATTTTCACCACAACAGGTGGGTGGGAGGGAAAGAATCTATGCACACTGATCACTGCCTTCCTCCAGCTGACCTCAGTCTTGCTTGGGCTGGGCAGTCACCTTATGGATTTTCCTGAATTTTTCCAGGGCTTCTCACACACTCCTGACAGCTATACTCTTGCATTCATTCTGCCTTGGTCAGAGGCTATCCAGCCTAGCAAGGCAGGTAGTGCGGATGCACGGGGGCTTCTAATTCTTGAGCTGTTGAAACCAGCCTGAAGGGGAACATTGTATTAACAAAGACACAAACACAACTTTACTTAGACGAAAACAGTGCAAGCTTCGGTACGCTCACACATGCATGTTTAAACAAATCCCACATGTATTCTTGTGGCTCCTGGTGTTGTTTAGTCATAAACAACCCATCACAAGCCCACACCCACCGCCCCAGTGACTCCATCCAGCCATCTCATCCTCTGCCCTCCCCTTCTTTTGCCGTTGGCTCCTGGTACACCAATACCAAATTCTGCATGCAGACAGCTAGATTATCCAAAGCTGAAATTAGTTTGAACCCTTCCCCACTCTGGCCCCAAAGAGACCACCAATTGTCCATTTGTCAGGGGCGTGGAACAGCGAGAAATGCCTTCAAACGGATCCGCTTATTGCAGTTAAAAGACACCCTCCAGGGGCCATTCAGACTGGCTTGCCTGTGTGTGAACCCTGCCAGCCTAAAAAATCCTATCTCTTACAGACTTCCTGGGTTGCATTTAACCCCCTTATACGCATACAGCTCACTATTCCTCTGAATGGCCAAACTGGGGAGGCATTCTGAAGCAGACCCACCCACCTCCCCCGATGCTAACAAATGGCAAAAAACAGTTCTTTGAATTAACACCTGCAGCTTTGGTCTGGGGGATGGGAGGCGTTTATGGAGGAACTCTCTGACCCTTTAGGTGTACAGCCTCAAGACTCCTAATCTCACAGCCAAGGTCCAGGCAGGAGAACTAGGGACCCCAAATGACAAGAGTGGGAAAAAACACCCAGAGAGTTGCTTGGGACCGTACACTAAAAGTACAGTTTGTTCAGACATACAGGAAATATATACAGCGTGTAGGTAGAAGGACTAAAAAAAGGAGTCTGTGCAAGATGCTTTTATAACCTATCATATACAAGGTGTTTTTATAACCTAACATGCGCATTTGGAGAGGGGAGGAACCACTTAGGCTGTTTGCTAGAGGGTAAAACAATAGGGTTGAACAGAATACACGAGAGAAGAACCTTCAGGACAGGTAAACTTTAGCATGTCCAAGGTGTGCCCAAAAGGACAGGCCTTTCAGGACAGGCATGTGGGAAGCAGGACCTGTAACATGGGATTCCTGATCAGGAATCCCATCTTAAGTCTTAAGCTGTTCTTACAGGGTCGGGCTTTCAGCAAGCCACATCACAGCGAAGTGTGGCTTAGTGGTTAAGAGCGTGGGACTGGGACTCAGACGATCTGGGTTCGAGTCCCCGCTCAGCCATGGAGCCAACTGGGTGACTTTGGGCCAGTCACAGACTCTCAGCCCAACCTACCTCACAGGGTTGTTGTTGTGGGGATAAGATGGAGGAGGAGATGTAACCTGCCTTGAGCCCTTTGCAGGAAAAAGACAGGCTATAAATCAAAAATAAATTAAAAAAAATGTTGTCCTGACAATAACAAATTAGACCAAGGGCAACAGGTCACGTGCCTCCAATGAACAGAATTTCCCCAAAACAGGGATGTACAGATAGTTGAATCTGTCATCTTTATTACACAGTTAGGTGGCTTTTGCTGTATTGCCTGCTCATTAATGATTGATGGCAGCGATTAGACAAAACTATTTTTAAAGCACCCCCATAATACTTGTTATTTGAATATGTGAAGCATTTTCAAACAGGGCATGGTTTTTACCCGGAGATGCTGGGCTTATCAGTAATGCAGATAAGATTCAGGATATCGGAGGATGTGTAAGTCTATCAAAATAAGTATGTAATAGAAACCTGTATGTCGGAGCTTAGTTCTTGAGCAAAAATTCCCAGGATTAAGGCACAACTGAATATCTGTCAGTAGGTGGCAATGCTCTACAAGCTACCAAACCATGTCCCCAGAAGTTTCCTGAAATACTGCGGAACAGAAAAGCGCTGCTACCTCATGCTGTATTCATCCTCTTATCTGATTCCTGCACCAAAAATGCTGTGAATATTTAATTTCTTAAATATCTAGCCTTTGTAATTTTGCAAATGGCTCAGTAAAAAAGCAGATGATTCTGGGCAGCCCTC